GACGTTTGTGATGAAGTGCCCGCCAAGTTGGGCATATCAAAGTGCGAACTTGTCCCAAGCATGATATAATAAGGTCAAAAATAATGGGAATTTCAATGAATTTCACATTGTCGGGCGGTGCCACTTCTTAGCAGCCAAGAGTTTGATTTTTTGTCGTTGAAGTCATTTTGAGACGCATGCACAAGAATAAGGTTTGTGAGTAGCAACTTCAGAAATGCAGCCACGCTTGTGGGCCAACGTGTTAGTCGTTGAAGAGCTGCAGCCATTTTCCGCATGAGTTCGGCCCGTTCGCCCCTGCAGTTAAGGCAGGCCGGGTGGAACGGCGCATTGAACCTCTCTTTGGGATGGTGCCAACAACGGCGGAATGCAATGGCGTTGTTGTCCGATTTTTTTTGGGCATGACGGATTCCAGAAAACATTTAAGTGAACAAAGCCACGATGTGATCAATGGCGACCCGTGCGCAGTTTCACGACTGTTGGTTTTAATGGCGTTGCCAGTGCCCAAATACATGTGGATGCTGGGGTAACCCCTTGGTCCTGTGAAACCTCATGGATAGAGTCCGTATATGGCGACACCAGTCTTTGACATGCTTCAATTGAGTCGTCAGTGTGTCTCAACAGGAGAAGGAGGAACTTGAAAACATGGCGAGCTCGTGACAAGCCTAGTCGCGGAGCACCATGAATTCTGAACCAACAAAGTAACCATGAACGGATCGTTGACTTCTGTCACTTTGTCCTGACCTGTTTGATTTGGGTCCCAGCTGTTGCATGGGCTTCGCACCTTTGTCCAGGCTTCACTCCAAGTGCGCTAAAGTGCGCACGCAGCGCGACTGCAGAGGCACCGGACAAAGGATATTAATTAGAAAACTATCCTATCATGTAGCAGACTGACGATTTTGGCGCCAGGCCGACGCTCAAAGCTCCTTGGAGGCGGAATCCAGCTGGAACGTTCAAAACATGCATGAGACACGGATATCTCATCATCTATCATCGACCAGATTTTATTGCCGCAGGCCAATGCCAAGGAGGCCACCGAGGCCCTCAAGGCAGCTCAGGCGATGAAACTGAGATCTTAACTAGGAGGGTTTTAACGGTCCTGGAAGATTGCCGTTTTTTGTTTTACCAGGCTGGAATCAGGTCATAAAGTTGACTTGGCAGATATTTGCAGTCCACTACCTTTTTCTTTGATCACATGAATCAAGAAATGACATGAAATGACCATCTCATTGAGTACCTCGGCTTCTGCTCAAGTCATCACCAGGCTTTTTCAACTCCTCATGGAGCACAGGCGAACGATTCCGGCCCCTCCACACTTCGCCATACCCTGCACTTGCGTCCCATGGGACTATTCAGGCCCGGTGGTCTTTCTGTGGTGGTTGTTGTTGTGGTTGTGGTTGTGGTTGTTGTCGTTGTTGGTGGTGGTGGTGTTGTTGTTGGTGGTGGTGGCCATGTAGAGAACGACAGTCAGTGATACCTATTGGAGCTCTGCGCTTCAGCACCTCATCAGTCTCTCGCAAGCTGAATGGAGAATCTAACGCTTCGGCCAAAATCAAGAGACACCATTCGGCTACTCCTGAAGCACTAGCGTAGCTCTGTGACTCACCTCCCAAAGTGGAGGAAACAACACGGGGAAGGCGGTATGACTTCCTTCCAACGCAAGACACGGGTGAATGCTTGTAAATATTCCATACATGGAGCATATGGGTATAATATACTGTAATATACTAGAATATACTATAATATACTGTAATATACTTTAGTATACTATAATATACTTTAATATTGCCCATGGTGAATTCTAACCTATTTCAAAGCCATACATTTACAACAAGTATTCGCGATTCGCCCTTGGCACCACCCGCCTCCGGGAAGGTGCCACCGATGCCGAAAGCGGGTGCCACAAATTCCCCATCCGCATTGACGGAATCCAATGACAATGCCAGCGCCAACCACACCAGGCACCGGAACCGGAACCCGTAAATGGTGTTGTTTTCATGAGGGAAGATGTTGGAAAAAAACATCAAGTCAAATGGACATGCGAATCATTTGTTGATGTATATTCTGCAATGATATACATGTATAGAATATATATATATACATACATACAATGTAGCTATACATAAATATATGTGATATAGATTGTATATGTCATGAACAAATGATGTCATTTCAGGACAGGGGTCCTCTTTGTCTTTGGGATGTGAACCTTGGAGTTTTCTGTGTGACAACATGGTGAAAAATCACCATCTGGATTTCACACCATAGAACTACCCTCTGGTTATGTCAACACTTTGCTATTGAAAATAACCCATGAAAAATTGTTGATTTACCTATTCAAAATGGTGATTTTATATAGTTTTTTGTATGTTTACCAGCGGGTATCCATGGTTGTATATTTCATAGATCTGCATCTGAATAATTCATAATTGTGTGAATGTGTGAGAAAACACATGGTATACACCCCGACATGTTTTTCACAATTCTTAGACGTGTGAATCCAGCATTCCAACATTATGCATGTACTCTTACTACAATGATCATCAAATGGGATAAACCATCTAACATTCTGGATGTTTTATAACATGGCCCACCTTCGCCCCATCATTTTATGGCCCTTCCATGGGAACGATGACACTTCTCCGTAGTTTTTGACCCTGGGTTTGTCTCAGTTTCTTGAAAACGAAAAAATTAGCTTGACGATTCGACGATGGCTGTCACATTTTTTTCAGTTTCCACTCAAGAACACAGCAATGTTTGGTTTCACTTGTTGGATCAGCGGTCCCTTGAAAACATCATTGAAGGGTCAACTTGCCGATGTTTAACTGTTACCTGGTTACCCTCCAGCGTCTTATTAAATTATTGTGGCGATTTTTTCTAACTTGTTTTGAAGCGAATTCTTGAAGCAAATTCACGAACCAGGCTCTCAGGCCATAGTATCATCTATATACTAATAATATATATATACCGGTATCGCAGAATCACTGGGAATTAAAGGGGTTTCCTCCCAAGAGTTGTACTTGGGGTTGGAGCTCTCTAGATATGTTCCGAGGATCTACCAGTTAAATGGGCCCATCGTGATACCATCCATTGTGCCAGTAAGCGTCAAGACTCGTAAAGACAGCGCCTAGCCAGCACAGTTTCAGTAGGTCACACATGGTTGTTCAAACGGATGTGGATGTGTAGAAGTGCAACATGTACACAAGCCAAGTTTGTATATATATATATATAATATATGATATACAACATGTATAGTATAATCCAACATAATCCGTACAATCCAGAGTTATATTTGCAGTATATATATAAATATATATACACGTTTCGTGCATCATATACACGTACAATCACGTATGTGCAGTTCAAATGGCTTTTCTACACCCAGGTACTGCGTAAATCATTGTATCATTCTGACCCTGACTTGGTTGTTTGAAGGATTGATATGGGATACTGACTTGACTTACTCGCTTCTGAAACAACAGCGGACCCCGGGTAGTGACAGTACGAAACCTACTCTCCCACTACCCAACCCTGCCCAAGGGCAGCCTCGGGGAAGACGAGCGTCATTTGATTTAGCCGCAGTGCGAACGCAGCGTTCGGACTCCAGCTATGACAAAAGACACTATCCCTACTCGACCCTGCCCAAGGGCAGCCTCGGATTAAGAGAGTACGAAACCTGGACTCCCACTACCCAGGGTCAATCAGTACAGGGGCAGACCCGGGTAAGGCCCCGCGACGTTTAACCGTTACCGACGTTTAAGCCCTGGGACCCTGAGCATTTTTCTCATTCACATTGCGGCAGTGGTCATCACACTTGAAGCGGCTCAGCTAATTTTAAATCAATCTTCTCAATGTGCTTCGCCCACAAGTTGTCACTCAGCTGGTAGCATCTGTCTGATGGACAAAGCAGCCACCAGTTCTGTGACGACGTTAGTGTTGCTAACCCTGCCGAGTGGAGTAACCGTCTCAGCATTGTTTGCGGCACATTGACGTTCATGGCGTCCCTGACGGCCTCTTCGAATGAGCGCTTCGGAAGCGACAAGTTGTTGCTTTCCCGAAGCATTGCCGTGATGATAGTCTTGGGTAGGCCCTGTAGCCTCCCGATTTCCATAGAAGTGAGTCGTCGGCGAAGCTTTGGACAGTAATATCCGTCCTGCTTGCAACGAATCTTTGTCAGGCATGGACATGCGTTGTGCAAGACACTCTGAAACCTTTTAGAAGCTGCCACGTCTAGGACATAGCCTCTGGTCCACAGGTCTTGACTGAGAATCTGCTCGTACTTAGGCAGCGTCAACACCTGATAACCCCAGTTCCAAGGCATAAGCCTAAGCATGTCAGGGTAACCAGGTAACAGTTAAACATCGGCAAGTCAAGGTCTGCCTGATTCTAGTTGCTGGCTCAAGACCGATCGTGGACGGTCGATGTCAATGGGAACATGAAACCAACCATCCAATTTTGTGGCACCCTATTTTGAGACGAAACCACATTGGGGTTGCCACCTGGCTGCCACATGTTCAACAAAAAGGGAACCTCTGACTTTGCCAGTGCAGCGAGTGCCATCCCCATCCATTGTCCTTGAAGTAGCAGCAATGGTTTTGAGATTCAAGTCTGAGAAATCACTCTGTCTCCACTGCAAGCCTTAGCAGCCACTATGTTCTTTACTTTCCATAGGTTTTCTATGCGTTTTTCCCTCCACTTTTCTCACTTCCTATCCTTTTCTTGTGCAGCATTTCCATCCCAAAAAAAACACATCAACACTTGGCACAACAAATCCCAGTCCCAATCGACACCACCAAATCTGTATCCCACCACTTCCCTCCCAATCCCCAAAACCTTCGCCCTCGATCCTCTTTGTGACCCAACCTAGCACCTAGCTAGATATATATATAATTATAACAATAGTTTAGCAACCATAACCACTCGACCAACCATATAATATAACCAACCTTACAAAATCATACAACCACCCAGGCTTTACCTCCCAACCACCAGCCCCCAGCGGCATGTGCCATGCAGCCTCTGACGACTTCGGCCACCGCGCTGCCACGCAGCGCCTCCGCGCGCAGCTCGCGGCGCAGCTCCAGCGCCGCGTCGACGCCCAAAGCGGCGCTGACGCTGAACGCGGCGAACGCGGTGACGTGGAACGGACGCGATGGGTTGCAGGAGCTGCCTGGGGGTTGGGGACCCTGACTGGGGACTGAGATGGGGTAAACAGGAAAAACCATAGGGTAGAAGCTGGTAGAAGCTGGTGAAATAGAAGTTTTTGAGGAATCAAAGAAAGTTAATAGAGATCATTGAAGGCTTATTCTCCAGGGGATCACAGACTCCAAGGCTCTGTTGGAACTCCGGGTGATCTCAGCATATCTCAGCACCATTTCCCCCAGGACTATGTGAGGCAGTTGGAGAACCAGCTGGCTGCCCCTTGGCAGTGGCCACATGTGGCACAGTTATGACAGTTGGTAAAACTCAGCAAGATATCGCCGGGGTTGTTTGGACATTCTCCTATCAAAATGGAGGTTTAGCATGGTTTAACCAAAATGGTGACTTAACATGACTCAACCACAAAAAATAGGGACAGATATCTTTTGTAATGGGGCTAATGGGGGTTGAAAACCAACCATTTTATGGTGATGTTAAGTGGGATATATTAATAATGGGGATACAGTTGGTACATAATTGGAACATATGGGAATATGATGGCAATATTTGGGTTTTACCTTCAAAATTGAGGCTCAAGAAACCAACAGCGGGCTTAACCATCAAAAACATATGGAATCAACCAATGAATGATGGATACTTGGATGCGTCTTGAAATGAGCTATACATTATACTATACTACCCATATATATATATATATACCCTCTGGTGAACTAACATAGCAATGGAAAATCACCATTTTTAATGGGAAAATCCACTATTTCTATAGCCATTTTCCATTGCTATGTTAGTTCACCAGAGGGTATATGGCAATTTCAATAGGATTTATGGGACCATTGGACCATAAAAAATCATCAGATTTGGGGGTACATGTAGATCCAGTTGGGATCATTGGATTTTTGGAAAGGTTTGTTGAGTGACATCTACCCTCTGGTTATGTCAAAATAGCTATTGAAAATGGCTATTTATAGTGGATTTTCCCATGAAAAATGGTGATTTTCAATAGCTATGTTAAATTACCAGAGGGTATTCATTGTTGAAACAGACGTCTGACCTGTGGAAAAAATAGCTCGAGGACTCTATAGGTCTCCAAAGTTGGAGAACTTTGGAAGAACTTTGCTGGATCAAATGAACAAAAGACCTCAACGGTCTATGCAGAAACCTTACTTGAGAGGTCTTGCAAACTACATATTGCGATAACTCCAAAAACAATCGCGAACTATAATTTTGGCATGGAGACTGCCGTTGTGACCCTTAGTTTTGTATATTTTCTTAGATACATCCATAGGTTTGAACAAACATTATTACTTGGCGACATATATCTTGTCCACTGGACATACGTCATGATTTCGGTTCTTTCATCGAGGTGGTGCCCCAGTTGGTGAAGTAGATATAAGTCGCCTAATTGAACTGGCTTTATTGGGATATATATATATACACAGTATATGATAATATGTATATATATATATACATGATTATGTGTGTATATATATATATATCGAACTAGTTTAAATCGGGTTAAACATGTTCGCGAAGATGTTCAAACCTACAAACATAAGAAGCATCTAACATACATATAACTGGTGGGGACAGCAGCCTGTTGATCATCCCCAGAAACAAACATCGAAAGCCTAGTGCAATTGGAGTTAGTTGGAATTCATGTTCACCAAACTTCTCAATCATCATAAGTCAGCTATACATCATGTATCATGATGTATACATATATATATATATATGGGTAAATTATAACGACCTCACTGCGACCTCACTGGGAATGATGGTTAGATTGCGGGAAATCATCCCAATATGGCCGGAAAATTCAGGTTAATGAAATATTATAATTTACCCAGATATATATTATTAATGTAATTTCCATGGACAATCACCATTTTTGTTGGTTGAATCCACCACATTTTGCCAGGTGAAGACTGGTCTCCTGGACGAGGCCTTGAGGTTGCACCGGCTCTTCCATGGAAGGTGCCAAATCAAGATGGCTGGGTGGTGTCGGAAAATCCGATGGGAAAATCCTTTGGGAAAAATCAAAACGAACTTAGCGAACAAAACATCGAAATCTATATGGAACAATCCTAAAACTTCGGGGTTTGAAGATGTTTTAACTGTGAAAACACATCAGGATAGAAGTGATGGTTATGGTTGGATATTTCACTGGTGATTGTAGGGAGCTATTTTCACCACCTGGTTGATGATTGGAGAATATGAGCGCAACATCAACGGGATATCTCTCAACTTAGCAGTAGAATGGGGATGGGACAGGGGTATTTTTCATGACTCACTGGAAGGGATAAACAATAAACAATTTTGTTGTTAGATTAAGTTAGAATCCTTTAGATATACCAGCAGAGGAATTTCAACCAAGATTTGATACACATTATGGTGATATGTTTGATGCGTTTTCAGATTATATGATACCGGTATGTTTTTTTTCCCGATGGCAAAATAAACTGGTGATTTGTTGCTGTGGAAGTGAGTTGCTCAGCTGCCATTGCTTCAGGTTCTACTTGTTGGGTACATCCAATTTTGGTCAAGCGGCATCTGAAGAGGAATTTCTCGGAGAAATGTATACAGTACCAATGTTGATCTTATTTGATTGGACTATACATATATATATATAATTTATAATGTTCAATCTCTAAGATTTGAAGAACTAAATGTACTTATGTCTTCCTGGTTGAATGTCCACCAGTTACGAGTTCTTCAGTAGATGTCCGGACCACTCAGAGACCCATGTTTCCAGGCTGGTGAGTCTTTCCGAGGGGCTTACTTGGAAGGCCGTGGTCGCCAAGGGGGCTACAACTAAGATGTAACCTCTGGTAAACTAACATAGCTATGGAAAATCACCATGTTTAATGGGAAAATCCACTATAAATGGCCATTTTCAATAGCTATGTTAAATTACCAGAGGGTAACCTCAGGCCACTCAATGAACCCAGTGTTGTTTGGGACTACTGGGCAATTTCAAAGCCATGACTTAAAATATAATATCGTATATCATCATATAGCCAAAAAGTCTGAGAATGATGGTTTCCTTTTAGAAATGGGGATTCAATCGATGTTCCAATACCCACCCGTGTTAAGTTTGATGAAATCGGGCGAGGGCTTCCATTTCCAAGCAAGGTTTGTTCAATGACATCCCTCTTATTGTTTTTCATAATATATATATAAATTATATATACATTGTATACGTACACATATATTATACATATACAGTATAGACATGTTCAATTGCGATTTTGTGATATATTACAAAATGACATGAACTAATTTGTACAATATGATATGATAAAATACAATATGATGCATTACACAACAGAGTTTTGTTCAAACAAACCAAACAAACACATAAGAACATCATATAGAACATAATGGTGTTTAAAACTACTGTATTAAAAATATGATTATGTATATAACATGATTCAATTGCATGTCGTTCATATATATATATATACTATAATGTAGAGTCTGATGCAATAGACTATGGTACAGGATTTTATGATATGATAGGCTATGATAGATAAGATGCAATAGTACAATATAGCACACATAGTACAATCAAAGACATCGGGAAAATAAACCCTCCACGAATGTAGATCATTTTCCGAAGGGGTTTTCCCCCTAGGGCTTTCCACCTCTATGTTTACTTACCCCATGGTACACATTGCATATGATACCCTCTGGTAATTTAGCAGTTCGCCTTTGAGTTCGGTAAATCGTATATAAATGATAAATGAACCATGGCTTCAATAAAATTACCAGATGGTAAATGATGACCCATATGGACCATCGTCATTCCTCCTATCTCTTCCCTCGGCATCACACGTTTGGCGAAAAGGATCAGCAGTTGGAGCAGCTGGCGCGCAGCGAGCGAACTGCTTGGCGCCAGGTGTGATTGGTGCTGTATAAGCGTGTCGGATTGGCAGCGGGAGTCCAATATCAACTGGTGACTTATGTATAGGGGTTCTAATTGGGAAATGTTCTATAAATCAGTTCAATGAATATGGGGTATTTGGTGGGAAAATCTTTTATAAATGGAAATATCATGGGGTTTGAAACCAACCAATGGGATATAATGTGGACATATGGTGGCTGATGACTTGATAAAGTTACAATGGCAATATGATGGAAATCCCTGAACAGGGCATTTAAATGGGAATAGCACATATAAATCATGGAAATTCAACCAACAATACATGCTTAATAAGCCCTTATTAGTTGTTGGTTGTTGATAACGCCCTTATTCTGGCGACTTCTGATTTCGCAAACACAGACAATGAGGATATGGGATATAGAATTTGGGATGTACAGCCATGAGATTTACAATCTTGGGGGATTATCATTGTCAATGGAAATTATCATGCTCATATTGGGCATGAACAGGGGATATAGTGGGATATCTAATCAACTCGGTATGATCTTTGGGGTCATTTTGTGGAGCGATTTCATGGTGATCTCATCGAACATATGGAGTTCACCAAGAATTGAGATGGATATCAGGCTATTTATGGGATAAATTGGGAATATTCACCAAGCAAATTTTCCCTCATGTAAATGGATAAATGGTATTACCAATAACATTAAAGTGCCCATAATATATCCACATGTGTTTTTCCTTTTTTTAAGATCATCTAAGATATGGATTTCGTATTGATTTTACCAGGAATTGAGATGGTGCATTTAGATGAAATATTGACCAAGCATTGACAATCATTTTACCACAATATATCCATATGATTTCAGTTTTTTTCTTTTGCATTGATATTCATTTTACATATGTACCAGGAATTGCATATTTGAGATTACCAATGTTACAACATATATTTCAATTGTTCATCTAACATATGTCCTTTTCCATGTTCTTGGTAAGTATTCCCATGTGGATATCAGGCTACTTACCCTCTGGTTATTGAACATAGCTATGGAAGCCATGGCCCATAGAAACAGATGAGTTTCCCAGCGAACGAAACCTCCATTTATTGTCTGGATTTTCCAGTTCGCTATATTTAAAAAATCAGATGGTACCATCAAGAATCACCAACATGACAGCTGCTGATACCCTCTGGTAAACTAACGTAACTATGGAACATCTCTATTTTTTAGCTGGGTAAATCCACTATTTCTATGGGCATTGTCAATAGCAAACTGTTAGTTTACCAGAGGGTATAGATCTTCCAAATATTGGATTTATATATATATATGGGATATTATATGATTACCATAGATTTTCATGGATTTGTAAACTAACAGTTTGCTATTAACGATAACTTGTCCTGGAACTTCCTGGAACATCGCCAGGCCGAGAAAGACACGCAGGAGATGCGCCAGTGGCGGCGGCGCGCTGAGAGTTTGGAGGACGTAGCTGCGCTGGGCATCCCCTAAAACATGCGGAAAGATAGGGAAAATCATGGAAATTTTCCCCTGAGAAGATAAAGGAATATGGAAAAAAAAACCTGGCTTTTCCATCTGGAAATATGAGGAAATGCATAGGAAATCATGGAACATCATCTTTTTTATGGCTGGGAAAATCATGGAGAAATTATCTATAGCTATGGAGGTTTATGGCTTGGGAAAATCATCTGTTTCTATGGGGGATACCGGTGGGTAACCCCAGCGGATTCAGCATGACATCGACGGGAAGATGTTCCAGTTTTTTTTCAGGATAAGTTTGTTTTCTAAGCAATTGATATCATCAGATTCTGATTGGTGGTTTGGAACATGAATGGATTATGACTTTCCATTCAGTTGGGAATGTCATCATCACTGACTTTAACTCTTATTTTTTCAGAGGGCTTGTTTTACGGCCAACCAGTATGGATAACTATGGACAACTATAAACTATGGATAACTAGGAATGGATCACTATGGCTTACCCTATGGATTACCCTATGGATTACCCTATGGTTATCATCAGATTTCATGTTGGTTGATTCATCCGGATGAGTCGTCACACCACTGACCCCACTGGGTGCCTGGGTGCAGGAGGAAAACACTGCACTGCGGGATGAACTGCGGGAATCGTCCGAGAACAACTTGCGCCACTGGGACGCAGGGATGCAGGGCTGGGGATGTGTTCCACCCAAAAAAATGGGGGAAATCTCATGAATCTGATGAGGGTTTTGTATGAAATATATGTGGAAGATAGATTTCTAGACATGTCTTGACATTTTTTGGGAGGTGCACGGCTGCGGGGCTGTGTTGATCTTCGAGGAGCGTATGCTACTTCACTACGAATCCATTCTTTTGCAGGGTACCCACCGTTAGTCAACTTGTTGTCTGGTTCACTCCTCTGGCTTAGGGGTTCGACCATGTTCAACCGTACAAAAACCCTTACTTTTTGGTACAAGATGCTTCAACCATATTAATTACCCTCTGGTTATTTAACATAGCCATGGAAAATGGCCCGTTTATAGATGATTTTCCATGGCTATGTTCAATAACCAGATGGTAACATGTTAACCATGTTTAACCCTACCTTTTGATAATTTTCAGATGATCCCGTAACTGACTCCAACGCCCGTTGGAACGTGTCGTGTCAAACGAGGCCTCCGGCAGTTCTTGGACGTCCTGGAAGTTCAAGCGGTGAAAGGCAGCAATTTTTTGGAGAACGGATGGGATGGTTAGGACCCAGGTATTTGGGGTGTGACTTGAGAGCAGCTGAGTCTATAGTACTTGCAAATCAAAGAAGATTACTAGGCTGACGTGACATCTTGAAGTTAAGAAAGACATGTTATATCATGTGATTTTTGAAGGGAGTTCCATGTCAGGTTGTATGATGTATGGGATGATACCCCCGTTTCTTCAATCTATGGGATGGGATGAAGACCTAATCAGCCCTGAGTTGGATCGCTTCATCTGTGGTGGATCCAACTCTTGGGGAATGACATGTGGAATGATGTTTCAGTTTTTTTACCATCAAGAATTGCAGTTACCCTCTGGTTATTTAACATAGCCATGGACAATGGCCCATTTATAGATGGTTTACCTATTAAAAATGGTGATTTTCCATGGTTATGTTAAATAACCAGATGGTATTAGTTGGTTTATGTTGGTTTAATCACCAGAGAAATTGAGGAGACATAAAGGGATACAGCCAACTTAACGTTGAAATTGGGGATGGCTCAAAACTCGTGATCACCATTTTTGGGATGCTTAGTTCTACGATGACACCAGTTGCGTGAGTCCATTGGTGCCCCAATTTTGAGCCCATACCTATGTTATATCCACAAGCGAGTTTTTTTTTTAAATTTGCTAATTCTCCTGAAGAAAATATCTGTTCACACCGGTTACCCTCTGGTAATTTAACATAGCTATTGAAAATGGCCATTTATAGTGGATTTTCCCATTAAAAATTGTGATTTTCCATAGTTATGTTAGTTTACCAGAGGGTAGATTCATTAAACAAACATCCAGGAAAACTTGTTGAGTCGCGTTTTTCGAGCTGGGCATCTGCAGTTTCGCTGGGCAGGTTATGGTCTGCGGTCCAGAACTTTCAGCACCTCGGCACGATTTCTTTGTCAAAAAGTGGGGACCGAAACCAAAAACCCATGGGTTTTTCCCGAATCCATTGGTTTCCCTATGGTTTCTATACATAATTAGTTTCCCTATTAAAACTCAGCAATTGATATCATTTGATAGCATTTTTTTTTGGATGTTTTGGGATGTTTTGGATAGCTTTCCCTATGTTTTCCTATGTTTTTCCTATGGCTATCCCTATCTTTTGGCGCCAGAAAAACCAGCTCCCCGTGTCCCCCGGATCCCCCGGATCCCAGCGAGGTCAGCAGTTTCCCACGGAGGAGACGAAGTTCGAGCAGACGCGGAGAGTGTCGGAGGAGTGGGACCGGGTGACCCAATGCTACTAGTCATGGTCGAAAAAGTAATTTATAGGAAATATTAATCATCATCATATATATATATAGAAGAATATATATATATACACATTATTATTATATATATATTATATATTATTATATTAATTATATGTATATATATTATTATTATTTTATTACATGGTATTATGATGTATTATGTATAATACAGTCAATAAAGTATGTATTGAATATTATATATATGCGTATTGAATATATTATATCGTGTTATATTTATTAATTTAATACTTGGTATTGGTTTGAACATGTTGGGAAAGGCATCAAAGTGTCATTCTGCATGATGAGTTTTCACCATTAACATTGCAATTTCGCGATATCCCATTCATTTTCAGACACAGCCATATGGTATCTAAACCTGGTACCCCTAGTGAACATCAAAATAGCTGGCAAATGGATGTTCATCCCACTAAAAATGGTATTAATAGGTATTGATCCATACCCATATTGTATAGCTTTGTTTCTTGAACAATTGGAGTATGCGAGATGGTCAAGAGTATTTTCTGCTTGCCAATGGATGTAAGCTATGTCGAAAAAACCCTCATTGCGTATATAAACATATTCAGTGGTTGATAGTTAAGATACCTGTAGCAAAACAAGGATTGAAGGATGGGCTATTACCCTTTGGCTATTTAATATAGTTATGCAAAAAAGGCCGGCCCATCTATAGATGATTTGTGATATGATTTGCCCATTAAAAAATGTGATTTTCCAGCTCGCTACGTTGAACAACCAGATGGTAACCTTAAAACAATGGCGAGATGAAGCACCATGAGCCTCATGAGCCACGCATTGCAAAGTCGGGTCACAAAACCACAGCAACCAACAAATGTCAAGAGATGCACCGTTTGAAAACTCTTGGTTGGTTTGTTGTATTCCTAGACGTGCTATCCGAATTTGTGATGATATTCTTATTTCGCACCTGATTCGGACCCCCCAGGTTTTAGGGTCGATATACGTTCCCCTATTTTTTCATGGATGCCTACCCGAAGAAAATACAGGAATGAGGGTTGATGTCCCCACCTGATCATTGTTGATTATTGCCCCACTAGATACCGAAGTTTACATTCCAATATTTGGCATCTATACATACTAAAAGTGGATGAGGTTGATATTTGCCGATTCTATTACTATTTGGCATCTATATGCATTTTTACTGTACTATTCAATTTTAGGATGACTATGCATATTACATACTAAAAGTGGCCCGTTTTGTGTTTCACCATGTTTCACCATTTCTGATGTGCCCATGTGTGAAATAAGCCTCACCCGGGTGCCACAGTATCCATTGAACATCAGTGAAACATATGGCTTTGTCTGAAAATTGATGGAACATGTTCGAAATTCCCATGGATTATCCTCATTGTTCCTATTTGGCTGTTTGTGGGTAGCTCCTATTTTCAGACAAAGCCATATACGATATTTGGGCGCTTCGAATCGAAACCCTGAGAATTGCTGCCCAATACATCAGGTTCGGAGACGCCAATTTCGTACGGAAGGTAACTTAGGCACTTCCATATTGGCTGACTGCCCCATATTTCATGTGTGAAATCCGAAATTCCCATGTTTTTCCTGTTCAAACCTCATCAAGTGCTGGTTTCCTGTTGCTGAAATGACTATTTTCTGCGTGAAATCCATCTCAACCCACGATTTTTTCGTTGGTTGGTGGTTTGGAACATGACTGGATTATGACTTTCCATATATTATTGGGAATGTCATCATCCCAACTGACGAAGTCAGATTTTTTAGAGGGGTAGGTCAACCTCCAATCCCAGTTTTTTTCTTGCCGAACCCTCCATGTCCCTGGGTTCAACAGCCATCCACCACGGCCAGGAGCAGCTGCCCCCCGCCGCCCCGCTGCCAGCGCTGATCCGCGCCACGCCCGGGGAGTCGGCAGCGAAGCTGTCCTTCTTTCTGACGCCGCAGGAGGCCTGGGCGCAGGTGCGGTGGATGGCGAGTGGCGATGGGATGGGATGGTGGATGGTTTTAAAGTGGGATTAGTGGTATGATGATATTAATCCATTGGTTAAGAGTGATATGAATAGTGGTTAGTATTATGATATACAAACCATTATGATATTATATAACTGGTTGGTGGTGACTGGAACATGACTGGATTGTGGGATGATTCATGACATGGTTAATAATGATGGTTAATAGTTAATAGTGATTAATAGGCTATAAACCAACAAGAGGAATATGATGGTGATCTGATTGATGGTTTGGAACATGAATTTTATTTTCCATATATTGGGAATGTCATCATCCCAACTGACGAAGTCCATCATTTTTCAGAGGGGTTGTTTTAGCTCTCAGAAAGGCATCCCCACTGGAATTCTAATCGATCCAAGTCGGAAGGTGGAATTCTGCACGTTGGACAAGCCACTTTTTTTTTCCGGCTAGCTGATCAACATGGTGGACATTCCACTTTGAAAATTTTTCGGAGAAAGATTGGATTTGAAGAACTGAAACATGTGAAATTTGGTTGATTTATAGCTAAAGTGCTTTGGAAAGCTCATAGATCTTTCATAGTTGCCATAGTTGACCTAGTTGTAGACCAACTTCCCAAACCAAAAAATGGGGCCTTCGTAGATTGACCGTTGGGTTTATGGTGTTGGATCCACATTAGCTGGATGGTTTATAATATGGAGGGTCCCAATCTAAAATGGATGATTTAGGGGTACCCCCATTTCAGGAAACCTATAATATATATATATGATTATATATATATACATATATATATATATGTATATAGAGAAAGAGAGAGAGAGAGAAAGTCGACTGTGGAGTCGGGAATGCTATAATTGAACAATGATTTTTGACCATTATCTTCAATCATCCCATTTTGAAGAAAATAATACAATCAGTGCTATCTAAAGTAACATTCAATCACTAATGCTATAAAGAACCATAAACAATAGTGGATTGGTGCATCCCATTGTATCTCATTGTTTGACATACCATTTTTAGAATTTTGGATGGACAACAATCAAGACGTGCGGAGGCCGCAACTTGTTGATTCAATCTGAAAAATCTACATTCAAAGAAAACACACATACCCGGCCTGGTACAAAAAGCTATTGAAGATGACCATAGAAATAGTGGATTTACCCATTGAAAATGGTGATTTTCCATAGTTATGTTAGTTTACCAGAGGGTATATGAATGTCATATATTTAAGTCAACAAATGGGATGCAAACATAAGCAGTCTAAGACACAATGACGATTTGGGTCAAGAAAAACAACTAGCAGTGTGGAAAAATCAACTTAACCCCGCACAACACTGCCTCACATCCAAGAAAGGCGACTCCTTGTGGTCATCGTTTGGGTCACATTGTCAAAATATCTCTATAATTGTCAAAAAATGGCCCCTTAAAGAAACACAACTTATGGATAGTTCGAGATTCCAACCGTTGGATCGGTAAGTTCACCGGCAGGTGGGTAGCAGCGCATCAGATCGGTCTCTCCGGGAAATGATGGTTGACCATGATGAGGGGTTTTCCACCCCATTACACAACTACCGGGTAAATCACCATTTCATATGGAAAATCACCATTTCATTGGGATATTGGGGTTATCCTCCATTAAAAATGGTGGATTGTTCCATGATTTTTCCATATATCTGGTTAATAGTGATGGTTAATAGTGGTTAAAAATAGGGTATAAACTAACAACAATGGGAATATGATGGTTATATACTGATTCCCATTTTTTATTGCATAGTTCTACCATCCCAATACTGTGGATGGTGGCGAAATCCAGCTGGTAGATTGTTTTTTCCATTAGAATCCCATACTGATTGGTGGTTTGGAACATGACTTTTATGACTTTCCATACATTGGGAACAATCATCCCATTTGACTTTCATATTTTTCAGAGGGGTGGCTCAACCACCAACCAGACCATATTTACCAACATGTACCCCATAACATAAATCACCCTTAAATGATCCCAGTTATGTAGGTAAATTTGCAATACATGGAGCATTTGGGTTATGGGTGAATGATAGCCACAAGGGGGGGGGGTAAATCATGGTAATTCATGGTAATTCTACCTAGTGATGTACCCAAAACTCAACCCCCCCTTTTTTCCGTTGGGTGTTTGGGGTAATCCTGATTGTCGGCTTGAAATTCGGCAATCTTCCTCCTGAAAATGGATGAAAATTGTCCTAAAGTGGATATGGAAGACAATATTTATTACCATCATCTTCCAAGAAATTGTCCAATATATCCTAAGGTGGATAATGATCTTGTCCACTTTAGGATGTCCCATCTTCCAATATGACGAAAAATATCACCCACTGAATAGGTGGGATGTCATGTTGCCATTGGGGAAACTGACCGTGTTCAGATATCCGAATATCAGATATCCCGGCCTGGTAAACATACAAAAAACTATTGAAAATGGACCATTTATAGTGGATTACCCATTAAAGATTGTGATTTTCCATAGCTTTTTGTATGTTTACCGGAGGATAATCAGATACAAACAGATTGCTGACATCTCATCTTGTCATTGCTTCATTCCAATAATGTGGGCATCTTATCAAATCTCATCACAAGCAGAGATATGTCACCACATCACATTTCTGATAGTATTTCTCAGCTCCCAAGCTTGGATGTGCATCCAATTATCACATTGAGCGATATATATATATACGTATATATATATATATACATATACATATATCCATATCATCTCCCAGTAATTGATATGTAGGGTATTCATCCCAGTTAGATGAGTGAGTTATAACATCTTATAACCCGAGATGCAACCGCAAAAAAAAACAGCCGCTGTCGCCCTCAGGTTGTGCGGCGTGAACTTGGAACGTCTCAAAGTGGACGAGCCCACGATCACTTCCGCCGCTTGGGTTTCCGTGGCTTCCCCGGGCGGTTTTTGATGCCTGGGAGTGTGGAAAAAATATGAAAAAATTGACCACCGGAAAAATAGCTCGGGCTATGATAAACGAAGCATAAAAAAGATGTCTATGGGAATGTAATAAAAAGGGACATGTGACATGTCTTTTATATTCTTTGATAGTTTATAGTCATGGAATCATCATTTGATATAAGTTGATATGACAATTTATTCTATATCAATGGGATGTTTTTTGGGCCATTCATAGGCAACAATCCATGGGATTCAGGGTGCATTCTATTCAGGGTGATTTGGGGCCTCAATTGGATGGGATGGGCGCTTCTTAGCACGTGTATATAGAGCTATATCCATTGTCAATTGTTGTGATGTTGCTCCAAAAGAGGGTATTGCTTCATTGCCGGTATCTGCAGATGACAACGTTGGTCATTCGGAATTCGTCCAGTCCCTCAGTCCCTTTGTTTGTACCTGCATATTTTCGTTGACCCGGCATTGCTCATGTCCCAACCCTTCGCGGTTCCACCCTTATTTCACTAGTATCTAGGACCATTGGCTTATACCAGTTGGAAGAAACCTGTCCTGGACGAGATGCATTTCGGACAATTTACATCAAGTTATCCAAGAGCACCACTTTTTTCCCAAGTTCACTGGCTGCTATCTCAGGACATGCCCAGGCAATCACTTGGGCCTCCACATTTCCAGACCCAACGTATAGGTCATAATGGTCATAATATGATATCCATGAATGCCGTAAAGAAATGTCATATTCATCCCCATTTATGGTTGGTTTCATGTATATCAATGTCACCAAAAAAAAGCATAACTAATGTGGGTAAAACAATAATAATAAGCCATCCGCCGGTCATCACCATAAATAGGCGGTATTCCCAGTCAGTGGTTTATGACATTGTTTTACCCACATTATTCCAATTATATTGACCATTATGAACCATTATTAACCAGTAGTATCCCACATTAGTATTATCTGGTTTGTGGTTTGGAACATTTGGATTATTCTTCCATATATTGGGAACAATAATCCCATTTGACTTTCAGATTTTTCATTTAGGGGTTGGTGGTAACCACCAACCAGATTATTATTCACCATCCTTAACCATCATCCTTAACCATCATCATTAAGCATGAAATTAACAGTATATTAACCATTAATAATAACCATCAGAGGGGTTGGTGGTAACCACCAACCAGATTATTATTCACCATCCTTAACCATCATCCTTAACCATCATCATTAACCATGAAATTAACAGTATATTAACCACTAATAATAACCATCAGAGGGGTTGGTGGTAACCACCAACCAGATTATTATTCACCATCCTTAACCATCATCCTTAAATCCTTAACCATCATCCTTAAATCCTTAACCATCATCATTAACCATGAAATTAACAGTATATTAACCATCATCAATAACCATCAGATGGGTTGGTGGTAACCACCAACCATTATTAACCATTACTAACCATATAATAACCATTATGAACCAGTATTAACCAGTAGTATCCCACATAAATATCATCTATGCCATGAAGGCGCGGAGTCGCTTGGATCGCGTGGACGAGGCCAAAGTGGCCGAGGAGACCGGGGGACGGTGCTGTTTTGTGCCATGACGAAACGGACGGCAAAACGGATGAAGATCACCATAAGACAAGCATGAAGATGGGGAAATTCACCCATAAATATCCATAAAATTCCATAAATCATATATTCACAGATATCCCATAAATCACCATAAAAGTTCACAAACATGAAAGAACCACAACTATCCTCATATCCATACATCAATCCATAAGATGGTGTGATTGGATGTATTTATACACCGTTTGAGTACATAAGGCGACATTTTATTGGGGCGTTCAGCGCAAGTTTGGTGGAAGTTAACAATAGATGAAACATCTAAACTGGACATTGACCCCCAAAGAAATGCCGGTTCAATAGGGACGATCATATGATTCGCGTTGAATGTCAACAGCAGCTTTCCGATGGAGGCCAGGAAAGCCAGAAGGGCGATAGAAAAGCAAGCAATTTATGGCCTTAGAACCAGCTGCAGCTGGGGTTTTCCAGTGCTCAAAAAAAGGAAGTTCGGCACGAGAAAAATGGATGGTGCAGCTGGGAAGTTCTGCCATCCGAGGGTGATCACATTCGATGTCCACATGTTCCACGACTGGGATATGGATTATATATGGATTATATATTATATATGAATATATGATGGTCCATATCCCGGTTCCATTCGATTTGATTTTACGACCTGACAATTTTTTTCTGTGGAAAGGCGTCACATGACTCCTTTCTGTCAGGGATTCTGTCAGGGTCAACACTATTTTTTTTCTTCAAATCTCCTGGTGACCCGATTCAGTTCCAGTTTTCTACCCTCTGGTAAACTAACATAACTATGGAAAATCAGCATTTACAATGGGTAAATCCACTATTTCTATGGGCCATGTTAGGGTGACCCTCATTCCACCAATTTCCACAGATTCCGCTTGGATTCTCCCAATCCCAATTCTGATGCTGGTGGCACAATGACTCCTGATCTCTATTCTTTATTGGTTGGATCTCCCTATGTATCCCTACAAGTTACGCATAGTTACGCTAGACCCCACCATTTCTTATATCCATGTCCACACTTTTTCCCAATTCCCAGAATTTGTTTCCTAGAATTCCACTGTTTCTTGCTACACATTCCCAAAATGTCGCAAACATTCCATTTTTCATTATGTAATAACCTATTTTTCCCTAGACAATTCCAATGTTTCCCGGATGAATCTCAGTTTGGATGCCACAGTTACCTATGAGAATTGATCTAACATTCTAGCAAAACCTTACCCATATTCCAAGGCTGTTCATATTCCATGCCAAAATAGCTCCGGAAATTTGGAAAATAATGAACGACCTTTGATGATGAGAATAAGGTTGTGTGACCCTTGTCAGGCGCTCCCTTGTCACGTGCTGTCATGTCCAATCGCACATGTTTAACCCCGCTGAGAACCTTCTCAAGCGATGATTTCTTGAATAAACATAATCATAAAGTCTTGTTTCTCTCATCAATCATCACCTTCTCTCAGCTTATTTTTTGACGCGTTTGGCTGGCGACTCAGCTTCCGCATCTGTAAACGGGGCCAAGTCTGGATTACGCTGTTCTTCCTCGAACCCAAATGGTACCATATTTCCACTTAATACAGTTACATTGAGTAGGATGCCACCCCTGGAGTATGATGCCCCCCCTGTATGCGTTGCCGTTCCTGCATGTGTGCTTCTCAGGCATATGTTAATATCATTTTTGACCAAATCGAGGCTGCAAATTCCATTCCACATACCCGCAAGGCATCACACTCTATCGCGCACGACTAAGACAACAATCGAGAATTTCCATAGCCTCCACAGGTCAAAAGTATCAAAATTTCATGGAATGCGATTGTATGCGCGACTGCTCAAAACGCTGGAAAAACAACAATTTCCCCCATATTCCATACTATCAGATTCCAGAGCATTTTACCTCCGAAGAGGAAAAAAATAAACAAAACTCTTCAGGTCAATTTTTCGAAAAAAAAATGTTTTTGGCTGTCTGCGCAAGTTTTTCTGGTGTACGATCCCTTTTGTGGAGCACGATGATCTGTGAGTAGGTGTGTGGAGTGCGATGGGGTCGTCTGTGGTGCGATGACACCCGTCGAGTGCGATGCGACATGAGTATGCGCGGCCGGAAATCCCCAGAGAGAAGGATTCTGGGCCACAATTCCCCAAATTCAACAGAGCGAGCGGATGCTGGTTGTTGTAATTTAACAGGATTTCAGCCCACTCAACAAACAAGTCAAACAATATTTTGAAACCCTCTCCTTCTTCAGTCTCCAAAATGGGAAACTCACTTGTCAGGACACGCTTTAGCTCATCCAGGCTCCATAGCATTTCAGGAACAACACAAGGCATCGACATGGTGCCAAACAATTTCCAAATTGAGCTGAAAGGTCTTCTGATCGCAACCAGTCATTTCACAGGTGTGAAACATGTCACACACAGGGAAACAGGTTGGGAAAACAGTGGGTCCAAAGAGACAGGTCTGGAGTACGATGGACTCATAATATATGTACATTTTCTGAATTTGGGTAACTTGGAGCTAGAAACATATATCACATATATATTTATATATCATATGTTACAATGTCTTATGGGTATAATTTCTGGATTTCAATCCTATAGAAATTCCATGGGTTTTCCATCCCATTTTTCGTCAGCTCGGTGTGTTTTCTGATGTCAGGAGGCCAAGGAAGAGACAAAGCAGGCAAGCATCTCGAGCACCAAGGAGGCGATGCGATGCTGCTTATTCAATGGTTAATGGTTATGTAGTGGTTATTGATTTATGGTTGTTTATGGTTATTTATTTAGTGGTTATTCAATGGTTAATGGTTATTCAATGGTTGTGGAAAGTGGTTATTTGATTTAGTGAGTATATGTACTAAATTGATAGCAATATTACATCATCTTTTACATGGTTAGCTTGAGATATTTTTTCACAGGAAAATACCATGGTTAACTGCCAATTGGCGGAAGCTAGTGTATACAGTTAATCGATTTGATTGGACTGGTAAATGTTCTATTGCGAGGTTGGATTACCTATGACATGTTCGTTCGTTGACTTCCGAAATGCTGTCCACACCATATTTGGAACCCAAAAGTCGATTATTCTAGACATCCGCTCTTTAAAACCAGTGTATAGGTCAAACCCTCCGAAATAGCGTGCGAAATTGCATCAACTGGCTACTCAGCACTTTTCCCATATAAATTGCCATAAACCACATTTCTCAGACACACCCAAATACCAAGTTGGCAATATATATACATACCATTTAAAAAAAAAAACATGAAGATCCCATGTACATACCATATCATATCATAAATACGATATAATATTCCATACACATAATTTTGTATGCCATTCGTATTCCATGATATTTCATGGTATCCTATGGATATCCCCTTCCTGGCAGGTTCTGGAGATTAGCCGATGCTTGGCGAGAAGGGTTACCTTGGACCAAGCATGGGGATGTCGGCGTCTACCGGGGTGATCTGTTTTTTTGGGGTATACAATGCATGGTGCCCTCTGTTAATTTAACATAGCTATTGAAAATGGCCCATTTATAGTTGATTTACCTATAACAAATGGTGATTTTCCATAGTTATGTTAGTTTACCAGAGGGTATAATCCGTAGAATTCCATAGAAAATATTCTGCTGATGATATAGGAATCCTACTATACATGGGTATTGTAATCCATAGATAATCCATTTGCTCCTCGAGGTGCTCCCAAACGATAGCTAAGTTGGTAGAAATAAACAGGTGATTTTTTTCGTATGGTTCATGGTAAATCTATCAGACTCATGGGATGTTTTTGAACCAACTTGTAACGGGGAGGGGGACCATTGTTGTAGGGCATCATGATGGTATAGTACTGGTTGGTGGTTTGGAAGATTTTTTATTTTTCCATTTCATATATATATATATATATATCTGGGATAATCCTGCCTACTGACTAATATTTTTCAAGATGGTTAAACCCACCAACCAGAATACTATGGTATAATACACCGACACACTGATCGATATTTTCCTGGGGGTGAATTGTTAGTCATCGCCATCGTCATCGTCATCGTCATCAATAAATAAATCAACCGTGGTAATGGGACATTCCCTATAAATGCAGGTTTATAGCCAAGAAAATCATCGAATAATACATGTCTATAAATGATCAATAATCAGACATCAATATTTATTTATCCAATATGCTCAATCATCATAAATCATGTTGATTTTAGATATCTTAAATAATTTAAATCTGTTGATTTCTATCTTAAATCATGTAGATATCTTAAATCGCCATTCTCGCCATTCCCGAATAATTGGGGATCGCCAGAACTCAGGTGATTCGGGCCAACGATCCTCGGCCAACTCACCCAAGAAGCGGGGGCCGCTTGACAGCGGTTTCCGGTTTCAAGCAACTGCAGGTCTTGATCTGATACATTTTCTACGACATGATACGACATACAAGAGGAATTGTTGGGGATTCAAGGAAAAAACAATGGTATATTATACATCATCATAAATCCAGACTGGGAATTTATGGGAATTAATCTTCTAGCTGGATTGGCCATTGGGGTCTCCATACTTTCTTTTAGGATTCAATACTAATATGTTCTTTAAATAATTGGGAATTTCAATGGGTATTCCGGTATTGATACCTTTTATTGTTGATTTTCAGTCCAATCATTGTTTGACGCTTAAATCAGTTAAATCATGTAAAAAAAGGTCACGAATCCGACTTTTTTTGGAGTAAAAGTCGCCAGTAAACTAACATAGGTATGTGGAAAACCAATGGAAAAGCCATATCATTTCTAAGTGGATCATTCTCCCAACGGCTTTCCCCACTGGTTTTCCACATGTAAACATTTAACTTAGTGTTTAAAATACCATATAATCCATATAGATTCCCATGAAATCCCTATTGAAACACCATTGAAACACCATAAAAACAAAGCCCCACTTTTCGGTACAATACGCAGGAACCTCAGCTCCGCGGCGCCGCCGGTGCTGGGGGCACCGCATCCGCGGCCGGTGGCGTCGACTCTTAAGGGATGTGGGTATAGGATGTCACCATCCCATTGATCCAGGATATGTGTTTCTATCCTCACTGGGTGTTGATGAAATCGGGCATATTATGTATATATCTGGGTAAATTATAACGACCTCACTGTTCTCCCTCACTATAATCATAGTTAGTAGGGGAAATGATCCCCAAATGGCCCAAGATTTCAGGTTAATGAAATATTATAATTTACCCAGATAATCCCAGATATATGTCACCATCCCATTGATATACATGGATGTTTAATGTGATGTATGGGATATATGTCCCATTGATATACATGGATATACATAGGATGGCTATTATATAATGGGATATACTATACCCTATGGCTATTTAACATAGTGGAAAAAATGGAACATCACCATCTTTTGTAGGTGAATAGTTTGAATAGTACTAAAGCATCCATCTATGTATGATTATGTATGGTCAATTTTCCATAGCTATGAAAAATATACCCAGTGGGCGATTTCACACCATCTGTTGGTAAACTCTGAACAATTCTGGGCAGGTCCCTGCATTAGACAACGCGGCGTTGTCTCAAAGTAGGATGCCTCGCCATCCCTGGTCCACTCCATTGGTTCAATTCCAATGTTCCCTTCCCGTCAACATAACTCATTGCATTATATCACAAGATGTGGTTATCAGAAACTGGTTGGTGGTTTGGAACATGACTTCTATTTTCCATAATATATGGGATAATCCTTCCCATTGACTAATATGTTTCAAGATGGTTAAAACCGCCAACCAGAAAAGATCGGTTTACACATACCCTCTGGTAAACTAACATAACTATATAGAAAATCACCATATTTTATGGGTAAATCAACTATTTCTATGGCCATTTTCAATAGCTATGTTCCCGGAGGGTATACCCTATGATTGACGTGTAATGTCACAAACTAAAATATGGGTTTAATCAATGAGATTGACATGTGAAATCTTGGTTTCATCAGGCAACTTCCCCAGTCTCAGACGATTATCATTCACCCCTGCCCCAATCATTGACGTTGGTCGCTGGCAAATAGTGAATCCCACGGTTTCGACGAGAAATCCATGTGGAGGTTTCCTTAAGAGGGGGGTATCCCTAAATAATCTTTTCATTTAAGAGGCGTTTCCAAATAATAAACCAACCATTTTGGGGATTTTCCCCATTTATGGAAACCCCATGTCTGGAAAAAAACGTATTTGGAAGACAATGGAGAATACCTATTTTAGGGAAATGACGTTGATGATAGTCCTGTTGTATCACCTGTATTGTTGGCCATCACCTCCCCTATATTTAAACCCGAAGTTGCCGAGGAAAATCCATCAGTTTTCAAACCAGTGAACATTGCCAATGGAGATCCCTGTAAATCCACATGTTTTCCTTTTGGTTCATAGTATTTGACAAATCCATGGCCATGATTTACATATGTGTACGACTATTGCTAGGGTGAAATTAACATTTGTCATGATTAAATCCCTATCACATTAAGTCATATCATATCATATCACATCATATCACATCATATCATCATATCGGTGTCGACGTGTCTTTAATCAAAGCCCTGTTGAAGCCCGAGTAGAAATTCCCCAATCCAAGGCAGTGGCGTCGTGAGTTTTATTTATGTTGACCCCATTCAATAGTTGGAAAAAGCTACCAGGTTACCCAATGCTAGCAACCGGGCAGCTATAGGCCAACTCTAGCAAGCTATCATGAAATATCATATTTTGTTTGGTAGAAATCCCCCGCTTTTGTGGTTGGTTAGTTCTTCATTTGTGTTAGTTGGATTGCCATTTTGTTGCTGAAATCCCCATGATTTTTGGTTGCAAGAAAAACATGTTTTTCTATCTCTGGGGGGGTGCTGTTTGCTGGTTATGTTTTGTGGTTTGTAAACCCCATCCCGTACAGATACCCTCTGGTTATTTAACATAGCCATGGAAAATGGCCCATTTATAGATGGTTTACCTATTAAAAATTAAAAATGGTGATTTCCATAGCTATGTTAAATAACCAGATGGTATATTACAGTACTAGACATCCAATCATTGCTCTTGTTATAGACCAACTTAGCTATCGGTTTTTTCAGCCCCAGCTTGTAGAAAGTTGTTTCTTTCTCGGTTCCCATTCGAACAAATACTGTTACCCAACTCATCCACATAAAATTTCCTAATTCCCATTAACTGCCGGTTGTATCCCCACCATATCAGTTTTTAATAGGAACATTATAAGTTCTATCCCCATGAATAATATATTCCCCTTGTAAAGAGTTGTTAGTTAGATTCCCAACAGCAAATATCCCAAACAAAAACCCTGGCAGTATCATGTAGTATCATGATTGACCATATTTAATATTCACCATTCACCATCCATGCACCATTGGATATATCCCAATTGAGTATGTATTAATCATATATGTTTACCACATTTTACCATACCCAAATGCTCCATGTATAGTATATTTACCTACATTTGGGTGATTTATGGGGCAAATGTTGGGATTCATATTCCATACATTCAGCATATGGGATATATATATATATAATTAATATATATATGTATAAACCACATATGTTCCATAGATTTTACCATAGGTTCACCATGGATTTCTCCAAAACCTCAGGTGCGCTACATGTCGGCCACACAGCTCAGTGCTTTGGCCGCGGTGCCGGCGGCTGGGGCAGCCTGTGGAAGCGTGGCCACCATGGCAGGCGGGGCAGTGGGGCAGTGGGGCAGTGGGGACGCAGGGTGAACAAAAATGGGTGAAACAACGAAGAACATGATAGAAAATGATAGAAAATGACTGGTTGGTGGTTTGGAACATGACTTTTATTTTCCATAATAATTATATGGGATAATCCTTCCCATTGACTTTCATATTTTTCAAGATGGTTGTTTTACCACCACCGTTTTTTATTTCTGCAAAACCTGCGAAAAAAACGGTGACCAACGCTTCAAACAAACGGTTGTGTATGACGGTTTAACGGTTGATGAATTTGGGATGGAATCTTAAGGAGGGTGCGTGCTAAACGCAGGGTTGCTGGATGGGTTGCTGGGGGTTGCTGGGATGATAAAATTACTAGTGATTAATTATGGAATATTATGGATCATTCCCGACAAAAATCCCTTCGTAAAACGCGCCAGTGACATGCCGAATACAAACCGTTTTGAGATCTTTCAGCGGTTTTGCGGAGCAAACCAATAACACATCTTTTTTGCATCTGTGGATGAAAATGTTTGGGAAGGGAGTTTCCAAGCCCATTCCCAACAAGGGAGTCCATGTGGCTGCTGACGTGATCCTGCAGAGTGGGAATTGCTAAGCATTACTATGCAATTGGAATTACATGGCTCATAATCACGTGTACCTAGCAAACTTATCTAATATTTGATTCTTGCTATTCAGTTCATGACCGATTTATCCCAGTATTTCTTTTGAGGATCATCGAGCCCAAGGTCCAGCCATACATTTCTCTGCCAGGAGATGCGCGCGTGTCGCCAGCACCCAGGCGCAAAGTGCTCACACCCCTTTGCTGTAGAAATTTCCCAGTTCCACTGCTCGAGAATCATGATTTTCCCAGTTCGTTTGAAGTCCAAAAGGTGACGAAAAACATCGTTTGAAACGTGGGATTCAAAGAATTTTCTGGGCAAACAATCATTTTAACAATTCTACTCAACCATAACATCTTTACTATACCATTACTAATCAACCATGACAAACAATCTGTCGTAAATCACTATTTATCCCACCCCAACAGCCGCCCCGCAACGCGGACACCACCAGGTGGCCGCCCTCGCCCACCCCGGCGGCGCAGCCGGCGCAGCCGCAGCAGCCGCAGCCCGCGGTGAAGCCCAAAGCGGCCCCGCTGCTGCCGCTGCCAGCGGCGCGGCACAAGGCGGCGCGGTGAGACCTTGGCAGGACGGGGGACAGGGAGGTGACCGAAGCAATGAATTAACTTATGAATACTTATGATGGTTGAGTAGTAATGGTCTAATATTATCTTGATTATATACTAATCGTATCAATTGATTAGTAATGGTATAGACATGGTATAGTAGTGGTATAGTAATGATTATGGTTGATTAGCAATGGTATAGTATTGATTAGTAATGGTATAGTAGTGATTACCGGAGGGTAGCAACTACTAACAGCTAGAAATTGATGATAGGAACAAGCACTCATTCCAGGATATATATAATATATATATTATCATATATATCTAATTTTAGTTCTTAATTGCAGTATCTAAAAGAGATGATGAGAAGAACTAAGAGGAAATTAAGAACTCTTTGAACTAATTATGACGGCAAAAGGAATTATTATATTATAACAACGACTTGCTGCTATGTACAAATTGATGGTTTGGTTGTTGGGGAAGGACCTCAGGAGCGTGGGTTGCGTGGGTTGTACTTAAGTTCACAAGTTCCATAGTTTTGAAACTTTATTCAGCTTATCAAGTTCTATAGTTTATCCATGTGTATCAACTTTACCCTCTGGTAAACTAACGTAACTATGGAAAATCACCGTTTTTAATGGGAAAATCCACTATAAATGGCCATTTTCAATAGCTATGTTAAATTACCAGAGGGTATCAAACTTCATATCTGTGGATTTCTACGCTCCACCACCAGGGTCAGAAACTGACAGGTGCCCCATGGCGATTGGTTCACGTGGTGAAAATTTCGCGGCGGCCGTGGTTGGTTTGCGGGTGTGCTAAGGGGATTGACCTTCAGTTTTTGATAATCCCATCCCGCTAATATTAAACACCCCATAAATGGTTCCTATTATGTGGAAATTCCCTCTTAAACTGTGGTTTCTAAAGGACTGTGTAGTATTAGGGGGATGGGATTACTATGATTGAAGTTCAACTAGCCTATCTTTGGCATTGCATTCACCAGCTGCCTGCAGTTCGCGAGCAGTTCGCTGGTGATTTGAGATGAACAAACCATAAAAAACCCACCTTCCCAGGAGGCTTCCAGGCGACCAATTTTTCCCGCATGGGATCGGGACGGCAGGGGTAAAGAGGGCGGAGCAGTCCTCACGGTGCCGTTGAATTCCGAGCTCCAGCAGGCGGGGACGCCCGTTTTGTTTCCGGCAGACTGGATGATTTGGGCGGTTTTTTTTTCATTTGGGACACCTCAAAATATGGATTCTATAGTTGGTGTCTTGAAATTCTGTGATGAAAATACACTCCGAACAGCTGCTACCTGAATTTGAAGTGAACTTCATGTTGAAAGAAACTCCTAGGGAAGCCTTGAAACTGGATCCTTAGTACGCCCAAACAGGTGCCGCACCAGGATGCCGATGAAAGGGTCAACATCCACTCTTCAAGGTGGTTCCAAAATGATATGATGCTCTTCCATGTCATGATCAACTAGAGGTTTCCTGCAATAGGGGTACCCCCAAATCATCCAAGTCATGAATGACCGTTTTAGTATGTTTTAGTATGTTTACTTGGGGATTCCCCATTTTAGGAAATCCCCACAATATGGTCTATGAATCTACCCTGAAAACTCTGAGTTTTATCACACTGAAAAATGCATTTTCAGCTGGATATGGAAGAAGACTTTCCATGGAAATTGCTGTTTCACAGCCTTGCTTCCTGGTAATCTTGCGCCCAGCCCCAAATTTGGTTATAATCGCCAGCTTTCCATGTACCCTCCTGCAAACGACATATGGATGTGGAAAACCCACATTGAAAAAAGGGAAAATGATGATGGGAAAACACACCTCAAAGTTTCCCGAGTTTCACTCATTTTTTTTCGGACAAAACCCTATTATTGTGAGCGTCATCAAATCCATTTTCAACAGTTATATATGGTTTTCAATAGCTGTCAATAGTTTATATCCTTCATCAAAAACTATAAACCATATATTTTCAATAGCTACGTCTAAACTACCAGAGTTATATAGTTGATGAAGGGAACAGCTACAGGAAAACCTTAATTGAAACACCATTGTTAACCATTTATCACCATTGTTAACAATTCATCACCATTATTGACCAATCCTGTCAGTGGTGCAGCTTTTTCAAGTCCCGTTCCGTTCCGTAAACGATGCCAAAACAGAAACAGCCGCAGCTGAGGCGAAGAGATCAGATAGGGATGGGTTTGGAATTTATGTCCAGTAAATTAACATGACGACCCTGTCAGGGCTTGGAAGATTTGTGAAACCACTAACCAAATGCAAAAAAATCAGGGTCGAACTGTTAATTTACCATTTGTAAATCATTTTCCTAGGAACACCGTTGAACACCTTTTTTGTTTTACATATCTAGGCAAATGTGTATCCCACGGTATTTCCCGGAAACAAAACGCCACCAATGGTGGGTATATACCCGGTACCCCATTTTGGGTATGGATGACCATAAGAGCTGATTGGAACAGCAAGAACATTGGATATGATCCCATAACATACTTCAGGGCTGAAATCCCTAAAACATGAGCAATATCCAAGAAGAATTTTTCAAATACAGTAGCAAATCCTAGACGATGAACCTGAGATACCTTCTGGTAAACTAACATAGCTATTGAAAATGGCCATTAATTTTGAGTTGTCCCATTAAACATGGTGATTTTCCATAGCTATGTTAAATTACCAGAGGGTATTCCAAGCCATGCAACATTCATTGCCCACGGCCCCGGCGGCACTACGGCTCAGCGAGTTAGTGAAACGTCGTACGGCGGGTCGTCAGGGAGTTTGTCGTCGCCAAGATGGGGTTGAGACGCTTTGCCGAACGGGCTTGAAATCATCGACCGCCCAAACATGTTTATGATAGTGTTTATGATATAGTTCGTTAATATTAATATATATATATAATGTTTATATAATTATATTTATATATATACACATAATATTGAACGGAACAAATGTGGGCTCAAGATTATCAAACATGAAGACACGTGATTTGACCATCCATTTTTTTATGGAGGATATATGAGGATATAACCATGACTTATATAATAGGCAAAAGTGGCTCAAAATGCTCAAATTCAAAAAACATGAGTTAATCATGTTTCATAATTAGCAAGTATGACATATTTCCTGAGTCCATTGATGCCCCAGTCACCAAATGTGGCTGTTGGTGGTTGTGGCCCAAGGACTACTTTTGGTGACACACATCCCATCACAAGGGCAGGGCCAAAATGAAAGGTGACTTGCTAAAAGCAATCTGCACCCCTTCTACGAAATGGTTGAATCCCGCTTCATATACGTACAATATATTTATATATATACTGTATATAAATACATATGTATAAATATATATATATATATACACAGTATATATATATATATGTATTTATATACAGTATATATATATATATAAACAGATAAACAAATAAATACGTATACATATATATATACATATATTTACAAAACTAAAAAAAACAGTACTAACACCATTCTTAGGTGGTTAAAACCCACCCATTGTTGGGTTGATTGAATCCCTGGCGAGATTGTGGAAATAACCCATATACAACCATATTATAACATATCAAGACTAGTGATATTCCATCTACACTCCGTGGTCAAACATGGTTAGCTGGGACATTCCCTACAACTGGAGGTTTGTAGCTGGGAATTTTGCATCGACTGATTTTGCAATGCCTCGTTTGCTTACCAGAGCGTCAATAATCCAAGATGTTTTAGGCACCCATTAACTATAGTTCTATCCCCTCATAAACCCAACAGTCAACCAAGTGATTTGCGTTTTAGCTATCATAAATCAGATGAACTCAGCTCTAAATCCCTGGTTTTTCCCATGGTTTTTTTCGTTGACCGAAAGCCCTGTTGATCCGCCTCCGAAGCTCAGAAAACGTCTTGTTATCCTTCTGCGTCATCGCCACTGGTGGCTTCCTGTCAGGGCAGCCCAGGTATGAGTTTGGACCAGGATCGTAGAAGTAAACATCTTGAAATTGATGTATGTGTATATGTATGTGTATGTGTATACATAAACACACACACATGTATATATATATACATATACCTAGACCTATACATGTACAATATACAAATACATATACACATACATATACTTATATATATATATATACATACATATACTTACATGTATGGACATACGTATATACATATACACAGATGTTTGCTTGTTTGTGTTTATTACTTGTGATTGACATATAATTGAAGGCTGGATTTTGAGGGGAACAGTGGATCGAAGGCTTCCTTGTTGAGGCGGTTGTTTAGACCGCCGGGTGAAACTTTGGAATCTCGACAAGGGCAGCAAAGTTGGGGTGACTCTTTTCACCTCAACCAAGAATTCACCAAACAAGGGGATTTATCCATATAATCCAACAAAAATGGGGCTTTGACTATCAAACATGGGCATCTAATATGCCCATGTTTGATCATACTGTCTTTGAGTCGTATGCACTGACGTGGCAAAATCGGAACCGCCCAATTTACTTTTTTAGATTTTTCGCACGAATATGAGGATCAACCAGTGAATTTTTGAGGTATGCCCATACTGATTGGTGGTTTGGAACATGAATTCTATTTTTCCATATATTGGGAATAATCATCATCCCAACTGACTTTCATATTTTTCAGAGGGGTAGGTCAACCACCAACCAGCATACCATGGTGTACCCGATAAAAGATCGCCCAAATGGTGAAAAAATCCATTGACATCCATCGAATTGATGCTATTGATAGCTGTATCAACGGAAAACTGGTGAAAAATCCTGTTATGTAACCATTGGACACGCAAGTCATATTGTTGGTTATACATCCGAATATATTGAATACATCCCATAATATTTTAATATGCTAGTCTAGCTAGTACGTGATTATGTGAGAATAATGGGATATTATCCAATTTTATTGATGACGTACCCCCCATGATATCCTTGCTCATTGGCTAAAATCCGATAATTCCCATAAATCTCTATATTTTTTATATTCTGGTTGGTGGTTTGGAACATGAATTCTATTTTTCCATATATTGGGAATGTCATCGTCCCAACTGACTTTCATATGTTTCAGAGGGGTAGGTCAACCACCAACCAGATTATTATTCACCATCCTTAACCAGACTTAACCATATAATAACCATCATCATTAACCGTTAACAGGATATTAGCCACATATTAACCAGTATTATTGTTGTTGGTTAAACCACGTGAAAAACCTCCCAATTTCTATTCCGGTTCCCATAGATCTTCAGCAAAATCTCAAGGTTCGGATACATCATCGGCATCAACGGAAACGTGGTCACCAAGGCACGGATGGCGATCAGAACTGATGGGTCTTTAAGTCAATGTGACGGAGAATTGATATATATATATATGTCATCTAATTATTGTGTATGGTACTAGAGGTATATCTATATTTATTTGCTATCATCTATTATTATCCATTATCATCCATTATAATCTATTATCATCTATCATCTTTTATCATCTATAATCATCTGTTATCATCCATGATCATTAGTTATCATCTATTGTGTATGGTAGGTATATCTATAACTAGTTACCTGCAGAAGATCGCAGAAATTTCTTGAAGGTCAACTCTTTGGAACCATCAAAGTCTGACGTTGAAGGAAATTTTATCCCAGAGATTTGGGAATCTATTGGGATATATTATTGGGATATCTTCAATATAGTTGGGATATATGATATATTCCCAAATATAGTTGGGATGTGGATTTGGGATATGAAATCAGATGAATGTCATCCAAATCATGATATAATGGATATAGTTCCCAGATCAATGTCCCAATTATATCCCAATGAAATCAGAAATCAATGAAATCAATCATCTATTAGCCTTTTTTTTGCCATTTTTTTAAACCATCACCATTCGGATTTTCCAATGATGGCCATCCATTGGAACATGGCCCAGTCGAAATGTCGTGGATTTTCCCAGTCGAATAGCATGGTGGATCTTTCCAGTTCGTTATGTAAACGTTTACCAGAGGGTAATTCAATAAATTAGCATTTGTCAGGTTTCATTCACGTATCAATTGCATCTGTATATGCGTAGATCAGATCCATGTCACATTACATATACATATGACATGTATATGCCCTGCAGAGGCTTCTTGAGGATCCATGATTTCGTGTGTAGATTTCCCAGCTTGCACGTTTGATGACACCGGAGATGCTAATATCCTAACGATCAATATCCCCAAAAAATATCCCGACGAAATCCCGACGAAATCACTATCAATCATCTATTGACCACGGGATTCTAATATCCTAATAAACATATCCCACTATTTGACGGGAAAATCACCTAGAAATCATTGTTGTTGGTGAAATCCCATTAACTACCACTACCATTGAATCCCATCTACCATTGAATTCGAAGCATTCTCCCATATTCCCATTCTATTCCCAATAGTTCCCATGAACACCTTCCCATGATATTCCCATGAAAATCTCCAAATTTTCCCATCTTCCAATCCAGGGGCAACTGATCTGCCTCGACCACTGGGACGGCCCGGTGGGGACCTGGACGAGCAGCGGCTTCAAGCAGTGCCTGTGGATCTGACGTGGATTTTAAGGACGAAAAATGGATGGTTTAAGGACGAAACAAGTGGATTTTCAATGATTTTCATTCCCGGACTTAGGAAATATGTGGATGATTGGATGTTCATGTTTCATGTTTCATGTGGATTCTTCATAATTCAACCATGGCTCAAACTTGTTTAAACAAAAACATGTGAATGAACCAGACTGAACCATGAAAAACATAAAAAAACATGGTTTGACCATTTTTACAGAGGGGTTTACCCTGAATTCACAAAGGGAATCTGACAATCCAAACAGGTTTTAACCAGCAACGCCACGCCAGGCCAGGTTTTTCTGCAGCAAAATGCCCATCCAACCAACCTTGGATTTATCCAACCAACCTTGGATGGTTTTATGATGGTTTTACCCATTAAAAAAACCTCAACTTGGTCCCCCAGTGTAATTATGATAGTAAGTATTTTTTGGTTGCAAACCATATATATATATATACATATATATATATATACATATATACATCCATGTACCATCCATGTACCATCATGATCACTGCTTAAGACATGATGAAAATCTATAACATCATGTACCATCCATGTACCATCACTGCTTATAACATCCATAGAAAATCTGGTTGGTGGTTTGGAACATGAATTTTATTTTTACATATATTGGGAATGTCATAATTCCAACTGACTTTCATATTTTTCAGAGGGGTGGCTCAACCACCAACCAGAAATATACCGTCACTGCTAACTGCTTAACCTCATCAAATATGAAGCAACCGCCGGGACCCCAGCCTGGCGCCCAGGTGCTACGACTTCAACGTGACATGACAAGAGATGGTAAACGTTAACCTGGGGAAGTGCGTTCAGAACGGGATAATGATTATGGATATTTCAGGATATATATATATATAATATAATAATATATATATATGGATATATGTATCTATGGAGATATTATGGTATATATATATACATATTTTAATTTCAGGATCTATGTATATATGTATATGTATATGTAGATAGTATGGTAGATATACACATATATTATGGATATATTATGGGATATATATATATATACACACATGGATAACTATGGATATATTCTGGGATTTTAAGGATACTGAGGAACTTATGGTGTCAATCGGCCTGTTTCTTTCTGAGTCAGGTGGATTTAAGTTACACATATGTGGATTGAACCATGAATAATTGGGAATTAAGACGGAAAAAACATACTCAGGGGTATTACAGTAATAACATTTAATCACAACTCTTTTCTGGGTAAGGTTTCAATACCTCCCCCCAAATAGTGTCAAATTGGGAAACTTCGGGTACCCATGGACCAACATGAATGAGCCGCAACAATGAAGTCATCCCACTTTCTTCATCTAAACGGGACGGATTTGGACGTGTTGTTCAATAATTAAGCAAAATGGCTTGGAGTTGTCGTTGTTTTTCCGTGTTTGCAACGACTACACTCTCTTTTGCTCTATATGTTATACCATATGTTCTACCCATATTATTTTCTATATAAGTACCATATATGTTATACCCATAGATGAGATTTTGCACACACTTCTGATATATTTTTTCTAGCCCAACATCTAGCATGTTTCAATAGATTGCACGAATTTCTCATGTTTTTTTTTCCCAGCAAAATCGACCTTCTGTTTCTTCAACGGTTAGGCTTGGGACGAGGGCATCCTGAGCTCACTGAACCTCGTTGGTGCAGTGATCTCCTCAGCTATTTGTTTCCGCTGGGCGGATGTCATGGGCCGCAAGAAGGAGGCGCCGATGACCGACCCGGGGACGGGGACGGGGGGAGCTGATGGAGGTAGATTTGAGATGGGAAATCCATGTTTGAATGGATCGAAATGGAGGCTTTGCAGATGTTTTCATGGGAAAATCCCTCATAAACTAGATATTCTTTGAAATGTTAGGTATATGAGCTGGCTTTGTCTCAAAATTTTCCGGTACAAAATCGGTCATAGTCCCAGTCAAAATGGCCATTTCAGGAGTAGCAATAGGATCCACCCCAAAGTTACCAGAAATGGGTCATATAACCATCAAAGTATGGGTGGTTTATTATTATTATAGTAACCATACTTATTATTACTGATAACTTATTACTACGATTATTATTATTATTACCCTCTGGTTATTTAACATAGCCATGGAAGCCATGGCCCATAGAAATAGATGGTTTACCGAACTTAACAATGGGTGGATCTTTCCATGGCGAACTGTGAATGTCATAACCAGATGGTGTTTGTTTTTATTGCACTAAAATATTATAGATACCCTCTGGTTATTTAACATAGCCATGGAAAATTGCCCATTTATAGATGATTTTCCCATCTAGAAACCTCCATTTATTTTGGGGATTTTCCATGGCTATGTTAGTCATAACCAGAGGGTAGATGTTTTTTTTTTTTTGCTGGGGAAATCCCTTAAAATCACTGGATCCTACTGGATCATTGGCAGAGTCTTGGCCCCGTTTGATTTTTTTTTGGTGTTTTTTCAGGTTTCAAGGAGAATTGGAAAGAATATCTATAATGATTACCATATATTTCAGCATAGAGGCATTCTTTTGGCATTTTGTTTTTAGGAAAGGGGTATTCTAAGTACAGTATATCTCATATCTCTATATCTATAATTAATGTAATTTGTGGCGAGATGTTGGTGCTACAAAGCACCAAATGAAATGGGAACATGAAGCAATCACATCGTGTGGCTGGAACATATCATCTCAAGATATCTCAAAACACACCTAATTTAATTCCTTTCATGTTTCGCAAGTTGCGGCGTTTTTTTATTACTGCTCTTGGAGACCAGGATTTGTCTCATGGGGTTGACCTCTCATAGTATGATCGGGGGGGATGGGATGTTACTTTGTTACCCTCTGGTAAACGAACTGTTTGCTATAGAAAATCACCATGTTCAATAACTATAAATGCTCATGTTCAATAGCAAACTTGTGTAATTACCAGGCCGGGTAATTCATCCCTACCTCTGGTTCAATCCCCAGCATTCTGTTCAGTCTGGAAAAAAAGTAGCCTCTGGTTATTTAACAAAATAACTATGGAAAATCACCATAGAGATAGTGGATTTTCCCATGAATAGCATGGTGGATCTTTCCATAGTTATGTAAACGTTTACCAGAGGGTAAAGAAAAATCATTGGGAAAGTCCACAGAAACCACGTCGAAACGTCTTCAACGAGCTATGAATTTCTTAAGAATGTCACATGTGTTGGCGAGATGCACGATTAATGATTTGATTAAATCATATAAAATGCACGAGCTTTTGCTGTCACCAAGGAACACATTCTTTTTTGCCAAATATCATCAGTTCTTTTTTGTATCTTATATGTTTCTAAACAGCACCAATAACGTTTATCCAACACACTCATAATTACTGTTTATAATAAATAGTTATCCAAAACATTATGGGGGGTTCCTAAAATGGTACCCCCAAATCATCCATTTTAATTGGATTTTCCCTTATACACCAGCCAGCTATTGGGGTACCCCTATGACTTAGGAAACCTTCGTATATACCCCCAATGGTTATCCCGTACAAGACATGAAGATTCATGGTTCAAAAGATCTTCCCACTTAGATCCACAGGTGAACGTAATCCTGGTGATCGTAAGTCTCCTACCTGGACTGTCCCATTTAGAAGTTACTAGCGAGTTATTGACTGGTATGATCCTCCAAGTACGAAATTTATTGACTACTAGGTTATCCCATATTATGATAACGGTTTTCCAACATATTGTGATAATGGTTAGCCAACTTGTTTTATCATGAAAAAAACAATCCCCATTAATTATTAACTGTTATCCGAAACACTAATATTGTTGAGATTTAAGATGATTTAAGAACATGTTATCCCACATACCCCTTAAGTTCATGGTGATCCCTAATCCGCTAATCACGTTATATATCCCTAATCCGCTAATCACCGCTAATCTAATTCGAGAAGATGTTCCATAAGTTTTATGGCAAAAAACCTATCACCCCCAGTGACCTTGCCCTCCAGGTGCAGGTTGGTGCGGCTCTTTACTTCCTTGGCTCCGCCATCACTGCGCTGTCGCCGTTCCTCTGGGGGATCTATGCCACTTGGCGAGGAGTCTGGGATGCTTAGCTGGGTGATGTTTGGAGATTTTGGGGATGTTGAAAATCAGCTCATTCACTTGACTTGGCCAATTCAGACTATTTTGGATTTTTTGTTGGTACAAGTTTGACATGTTCATCTCTAAGTCTAGCTGCTGGAAATTGAACATTCCCAGAGATGGCATAGGTCACCTTTGCTTGGAAAAGACCCGGGGTTGGTTGTTTGTTTGTTGATGATGTATGTTTCTGGCCATGAAGGATGTTTCATGTACGAAAAATGACGTTCTGGACATAGTTTTTTTGGTGTTTCTTGTGACCTTGTGTGTTGGTGAAGCGGCCATTGTTTTCTCGTTTATTTCGATCATTTTCGATCCAAGGTTGTATGATTGGTATATATTAATATACAGTAATACTTATTTAATCTTGGGCTGGCAAACCACAAGTGTTGGGTAAACAAAAATTGCGTGACCAACGCTGGGATTTCTCCAGTGGGTCTGAGGCTGGCTTCCTGATCTATGGTCTCGGCATAGGCGCAGCGCGTTCGCGCGTTCGGGTTGGATGCATGATTCCATGGGGGGTCTTTTGGATGATCCCTGTCCCAAGCCACCCCAATTTGAAGATGGTGGTGTCCATGTGGGATCTCCAAAATGGATGGTTTTTTTCATTGGAAAATCCTATTTAAATGGATGTCTTGGGGGTACCCGCATTTTAAGAAACCCGAACATGTTACAATCAGTATCAAACATTTTTTTGTTTCGAATGTATTCCAGCCATTCAAAGTTTTCAGACAACTACAAAGAGATCTTAAGGATCATTTTTCTGTAGCATTTTTCCCAACAAATCGCAACAGTTCATAGACAATTTCAACCCTTATCCCCAACAATGATTCTTGGCTGGCCATAGTTCCATTATATTCCCGTTTCATATCCAAAATACATATTATTTATATACCATATATTATTATATTTATATATGCCCATGGTATATTTACATATGGCCATGGTATAATTATATATGCCCATGGTCAATTAATTACCTGGTAATATATTCCCATGGTTACTATTCCATGGTTTCAATGGATTATGGTTTCATGGTTTCAACATGTTCCATCATAGTCCCATATTGAAAAAAAAACAGTACAATCCCATTATTACCCGTTGTATGTCCATTATAACCCAATGTGATCCCATTATATTCCCACACTTCATTGCTCTTTTACAGCGTGGTTGTACTAGGTACAATCACATCATTACCTAGTTACAACAATCCCATTATATTCCCATCATATTCCAATATCATTGTTAATCATTGTGAACTTTTCTGTTGCACTATATTCCGCTATAATGCATTGTCTTCCACTATAATCTATTGTAATCCGATTCTATTCCCATTCTATGTCCATCAATAATCTATGTGTTCCCATTATATCCAAGACTATTAATCCATATCAATATCAATATGAATGCTCATTGTAATCCCATAATCCCATTATATTCCATATATTACACCATATCCAATGAAATTTTCCCATGACATATGTTCCATGGTTATGTAAACGTTTACCAGAGGATAATATTCTTCACCCAACGAATCGGCTTCTGCGAAATGCCAGGCTTCTGCATGCACGCGGCGCCCGTCTACATCGCCGAGATCGCGCCGGCCAAGGTGCGTGGCACCTTTGTCTCCGCCAAGGTGCAGATTGCGGCAACGGCCACGGCGGGTTGGCCATGGAAACATGCGGAAAACCCATAGGAAAATGAGGATTTTTCAGCATAAATGAGGATTTCGGGAATTGAAAATGATGATTTTAATCCTGAAACATGGAACTTTTAGCTTTAAAAGCCCGTTATTTCGTCCAGAAAAGACATGGAACGTTGAACCGGTTGAACACGAAGGTTTCAACTCAGACCCGCAGGCTGCGGGTGGGTTTCAGTAGGTTTCAGTCGTTTTCTCTATCAATGGATTTCACTGGCAACAATCTTCAACAATAGCCAGTTGGTGGTTAATAGTGATGGTTAATAGTGGTTAATAGTGGTTAATAGTGGTTAATAGTGGTTAATAGTGGTTAATAGTGGTTAATAGTGGTTAATGTGGTTAATAGGACTTGGAAATGGATCAATATCTGGTTGGTGGTTTGGAACATGACTTTTATTATACTTTTATTTTCCATTTCATATATGGGATGTCATCCCAACCCCATTGACGAAGTCATATTTTTCAAGATTGTTTTTTAACCACCAACCAGTCAACAAAATCGGGATGACACCAAGATGAAAATAGGTCGGATCTTTAGGTGGTATCCACGGATGATTTCCATAAAGATCTGGGGCAATTTTTACGACCGAAGCCTGTTCTCACCCTGGAATCATGGTGTATTTATGGGAAATCATCCCCAAATGGCCCAAGATTTCAGAGGTGTTTGGCTCTAGCCTTCTAGCTGGCACAACCTGTCACTCATTGTGGAGGGTGCGAATAGAGCAATGACACTCCCGTTTCTGGATATACCTCCTAAACTCAATGAGTTTCTCCTGGAGTTCGAAGTCTATGGATCACCAAAACATCCCTTTCCAAAGCATAGATGTAACCTGCTTTTGGATCAGGTGACTGGAGATGAAATCATGAACCCAAGGTGGTTGAAAGGTCTTCCGATGAAAATCGAAGGGTCTAGCAGGGCTCTGTTCATGAATGGTATTTTTCCAGCTTGGTCAGATGAGATTTTTGGAGACGCAGTGACAGTCCTTTGCGAATTTCCATGTAGCTATCACCAAGATGACAAGAAGGTTTTGCTCTGGAATGTGGTTGATGGTATGGCTGAACCTAGACCAGGGATGCCAGACTGGATCTTTGACGAATACAGCATGTATCTTACTCTGGATGAGTGTTCGCATGAGGGACTCCACATCTTGGAGACATTTTCAGGTGGTTTTGGGGGGTGGGCATATGCAAGCAGTTTCCTGAGAAAGCATTTTTCCATCCCTACTCAGACCATTGGGATTGAATCCGATATGCAAGCTGCAGCCGATTTTTGCATGAACCATGATGCCACACTCATTGAAGGGATGAGAAGTTGTCCACGATTCGATGCCATTAATTGGGAACACACAAATGTTCTGCATGCAGACATTACAAGCCAAAGTTGGTGGCCATTGCTCACCAGATGGGGTGTTGACATCATGACCATATCCAGCCCATGTCCACCATGGACAAAAGCAAGTACTGGCCCAGGACTTGACTGTGACAATGGATGCCTTTTGCCGTACACAATCATGTTGGGACGCATTTTCCGACCAAAATTGATCCTGATTGAGCAAGTAGCTGGATTTAGCACACATCGACACAAGCAGATCACATTGGCAGTGCTACGTCATGTAGGTTACAAGTTGCAGTGGTCAGTAATCCTCAACAGTGCTGATTTTGGCGGCTCTTCCAGACCAAGATGGTTAGGATTGGCATCTCGAATCAATGAAGGGTCACTTGAAAGCGTGCCATGCCAACTTTGGCCAAAACATGAGCAACTCACTCCTGAAAGCATCGGCGCCATTTTCCCCAAAGAGGTTCCAGGCCTTCAGAATTTGATCATCACTCCGCTCATGAAATCGTGTGCCATGGATTCTACGTTTTTGCCACACAACATGCGCAGTCAATTTGCTTTTGCCACTGGGGAGCAAATTCTTCAAGCAAGATGCCACAGGATTCATGAAATTTTGCCTACGGTAATGGCCTTGTATGGGCAACAACACACACTGACTAGGGCAACACTGGAGAACAAAGGTTTCTTTGGATTCTTTTTGATTGACTACGAACAGAGGACACGATTGATGCATCCTTTGGAGATTGCCCTCACCCATCTTGTACATGGTAGGATTTTTGTCGCCAGTGATTTCAATCGAACATGGCACCACTTGGGAAATCAGATCACATGGCCACATGCTTTAGTCATGATGGTGAACGCTCTCAATCAACTCCGAAGTCAAAAGCCTAAGCTTTCCATGGATTTCATTTTTGCAAAGATGATTGATTGCCATATGAAGATCCCACGCACCATCTCAGTCACTGGCAACAAAGGTTCGATTTTTGCTGACTTCAATGAAGTATTGATTGACCCAGAGACCATGCTTCGGCATTATGAAAGCCTGTGCAATGATGAATATGCATTTTGGTTACCAGAGAACCATGCCTGGGCGCCATCCAAGGGTCTTTTTCCATTGGATATCCAGTTGGCACAAGATGAGTTGATGCCTGCCTCACCAGTGTCAGCTGCAACCGAGCTTGATGAAGAATCGATGGAAATCCAGCAAACCTTGCCATTCCAGCCGTTGCTCAAAGTAATCAATCCACTACTTTTTGGGTTGACCCTGACCTTTCCATTTGGGATATGGAACAACTGTTTGGTTTCCAATGCCAGGTGATTGAGACGCCACATCGAAGTGACGGATGCACATTTGAGATGCGACTTTCCGATACCATGTGCATCCCCGACAACACATCCAGAGAAAATGTCATGACATGCATTCACGAAGGGAATTTGATTTTCATCAAGATTGATCCTGACAAGCCATTGCTACTACAGCTGCAAGAAAGACAGTGGAACAATCTCAAATTCGACCAATATGGATCCATCATGCCAACACAGAAGCATGGTGATGCCTTGATGATTGCCGATTTCCCGATCAAACATGCACCTTTCGAATCAAGTGCAACCTTCCTCTTGGCAGCATTCCAAGCCGTACAACAGTCAGCCGTGAACCATCACCAGAATGGAACTTTTGACATTGAGGTAGTAGGACCACCTGCCGCAAGAAGGATTGTAGCTGATTTCTGGAGCCAGACATTTGACTTCACATCTTTGCAGAATCTCAAGTACGAAGTTCGATGTACAGAAGCATCCGACACCATCCGCATTTCTTTTGCATCCGACTCAGGTTGTACAGGAATTCCATCACATGCTTTTGCTGAATGCCTGATGATGATTGCTGCCACCCGGAAAGCATTGGACGCATTGACACATGAACATGGACATGACACACTCATCAAATGGGGATCCAGACCACTTTGGAGAGGACCCTTGCATGAAGAAACAAGTGTTACCACGATTCTAGCTTTCTTGCAGTTCACAGGTTGGCCATTGTTTCAAGGGAAGGAACTTCGCCTCATCAACAAAGCAAAGCAATGCTGCCAGGTTCCGATTGGAGATCTCCAAGCAAGCAATGCAGGAATCATCCTCATGCATATGGTAGTGCAGATGGTAGGAGGTGTAGGAGCGAAAGAGACACAGAAAGCCCACATCCGAAATTCCCTTGCATCCTCCTTACTGGAAATGGGATACCCCATTGAATGGGTGTCAACAGCGACAGAAAAAATGCTGGACCATGCAGGTCTCAAGAAGTCAACCAGCATCTCTTTGTTACCACCAGGTAAACAGAGAGGGGACGCACTCCTTCAACTTTGCCGAGATTGCAGCGTTTTGATTCCAGAAAAAGTCACGAAAACAGCCACAAAGGTATCCCAAGCAGGTGAAGCCGTTCAGAGAAAGAAACGCCAAGTTCTTTCAATCAATCCCAATGACTACGCCATTGAACCCGGTTTTTTGCGATCCCAACAAGATGATGTGATGCCACAAATCCCAGAAATTAGACATCAAGAAACAGGGATAGTATTGACCACAATTGATCATGCAATGCAATGGGCTTTGGAATCACAGACCATCTCGCAAAATGAATTGGCCCTATTGATTGTTGGTGAACACAAGCTGGATACCAAATTGAATTTCTCACATGTCCATGTGCCGTGCAAGGACCGGAACCAAGACCGGTTATCCTAGCTTGCACGATGCTTCAACTTGGAGCCAAGGCCGTGAAGATCCAAGCAGCGTCACATCCGCCAATTGCAGAGCAAGACATGACCACAGTTTCCATTACATATTGGAGCCAAGATTGGAATGAGGATTGGAAAACAATTGTGGATAATCCATATACATTCACCAAACGGACGCTAAAGGCACAGGGGCTTGACGACGTCATTGAATCCCTCTGGGGAAAATCAATCAAAGAAGCCAAGACCTCACAAAATGCGCAATTTGCAGAATCCATCCAAATCCATGGTACTGTCAAGACATCCAGAATTCCGGAGCTTTTGGGCAGATCAGGGTTCAATCGAATGTTCATCGTGCCGAAGACACCAGATGGAAGAATCTCTCCGGAATGGAAAATCATTTGGCTTGATGCGACATTTGCACAGATATCATCCATTGCTGCCAAACACACGGATTGCCTTGGCCTGGTCCGTAATCGGAACTCACTAGGATTGAGATTCAGCCGTGATGCATTCGAAGCAGCCTGGAAGAGCATTCAGCCGAACAAACCCATGCCAGTGATCATGGATATGAAATTCATGTGGAAAATCCAGCCACTTCCATTTGGGTGTACAGCCACAATGCTTGTCAATTGGGCAAAGGCAATTGGATGGGAGTTGAAACCCATCAAAGCATTAGGTGCCACCACGTGGTTAGCAGGTAGCCAAGCACCGTTGCCGGAAGGTATCCACACCTTCAATGCCAGGCCATTGCTGATCAAGTTGTTGCCGCCCAGACATCAGCAGAACGCATCGCCCATTGGAGCTGGTCCCAGACCCATCCGACAGTCGAGATCAGGCATGCAGAAAGATGATGATCACAACAATCCATTTTTTGATCC